AGCCGAGTGAGTCTCGCGTCTGTGCAGCAAACATTGCCCTGATGGATAATGCCTCTGTTAGATGCGCCAAAGGCAGGCCACAAACACATCACCCTTGATAGCATGATCAACCATCCCGTCTCGCGGGGCTCGATTGTCAGTTCTGTCTCTAGGCACCAGTGTCGTGATCCTGAGCCCATATCCTTGCAGCATGTCAAATCGAATGATCCAACTGAAGCGCCCGCTATTGATCCGCAATACTTCGAGTCCGACTATGGCAAGTGGCGATTTCTCGTCCATGGGAACAATGCACCCTACATCGTCCCCCCAGATCTGAAGGCATTCATTGAACTGTTCAAGTTCAACCGTCGACTGGTTCAGCAAGAGCCTCTTTGTAGTATTTTGAGCGGTACCATAGGTCTTTTTCATTCATACTGAAGTCTGATGGACGAGTGCAGGCGTCGAGGTCAACCCTGGTCCAGAATGCCAAACAGACGAACAAATCGGAGGTTGGGGAAATCCATATACCGAAGACTTGAATCTGAATTCATTTTTATTTTTATTCTACAGACTGGCTGAAAGCTCACTTTCGTTCAACCTGGCGTTCGTGGAGTATTCACGACACTTCACATCACTTTGCTGAATAAAATTCACCAGATACCGTAGGATCCTGCTCTATGTTGCCTTTGGAGGATGGTGGCGTTGTCGACACAAAGCTGAAGGTGAGGTGATTCCTATTGACGCGGACAAATCTAAGGGGACGTTCCGCAGGTTTACCATACTACGAATATTCGTGTGATTGATATCTCAATTATCCCTCTCCACATTGGTGCGCATACTCAGGGTGCGTGTGGTTTCAAATTTCTTGTACGCGCTGTGCTTTCGGTTGACATGCGGCATCGGAAGCCACTGCCTACGCGTTGGCAGAGCTGGGTATGTTTGCTTTTTTGGTCGATCATTTAGTGCTGATCCGTGGCGTAGGGGCAGATATTATCAAGGGCAATGCTCTCAATTAGACATGTCTGTGTTCCTGCGCGCATTAAGTTAGCTAGACAGAGTCCTGCCATCGGAGCGACAAGGAAATCTGATCATTTCTTCTGGAAATCCCTTGCATTCTGTTCTCCTGTTTGATGAATTTTCGCCTTGAGATCCTTCTTGCTATCATCTCCAATATTTAAGTCCCAAGTTCGCATCGAACGAGTAGATCTGGGTGTGTCACATTCAGTGCAGACGTGGAAACCATTCTCAACCGGGGCTTAATTCTCTCTGCCAACTCGGGATTATTTCGTTCGTGGGCACACTGACATAGCCAGGAAACGCGAGTCGCACGTGATCGCGTTTCGAGCTCCGCGGTTATGTAATCCCCGTCACTTTTTCCTCTCGAGTCTCAGGACCTTCATTGCTCAGGACCGCAAATCGGTGTTCAAGTTTAGGCTCGGTTAGGACTTCTCTCGTGTTATGAACGCCGCAAAATTCTCGCCTCGGATGACACGCTGGATAGCCTGCGCAGCTCATTGAGCGCGGCTCGCGATAGTCCCGCGGTGCCCGCCGCTCTGGTGTCGGTCTCGAGGAGTTCGACGACTTTCGCCGACCCACTTAGTCTGTTGCCATTGCTGCACCCCTTAGGGAAGTGCCCTATTCTCTTGGACAGAAGCACTAGTCCCCTACCAAATTCTGCCCGTGCTCTCAGGCTCGTACTCATTCGCGTTGTTACTCCGTTCCTCAGGGTTCCTGTGTATACCGTGTCGGCTGTCCCTCCACGTAATATGTGTGCATGTGAGAGGAATCCCGTGGCCGTGGCCCCGCCTATTTTTGAACACGCTCTATCACACCACAGAAAGTTCGAGAAATTCTCTTCGCCACATAAAAAAGGGCCAGGGACGTGTCAAGCCTCGTTGCTCTTGGCTCCCATCTTACCTTTCTTCCATTACCTTGCACCCCTACTCATCTGGTCGGTCATTCCTTCCTGTCTTCCAGCTCGGTTCTGACACCCCATAGACCATGGCCTCTGAAAGCTTCGGATTCCAAGCAGAAATCAGCCAGCTGCTGGACCTCATTATCAGTGCGTTCATGCTCGTCTGCGCCTCTGTCGCCCCTCATCCGGCTCTTCCTCAGACACCTTCTACTCCAACAAAGAGATCTTCCTTCGAGAGCTGATCTCCAACGGCTCGGACGCCCTGGACAAAATTCGATATGCATCCTTGACCGACCCCAGTGTTCTGGAGACCGAGCGTGAGCTCTACATTCGCATCGTCCCCGACAAGGAGAACAAGGTGCTCTCCATCCGCGACACTGGGATCGGCATGACCAAGGCCGACATGGTGAATAACCTGGGGACGATTGCCAAGTCGGGTACAAAAGTGCGTGTCCTATTCCTCTCGCTTCGCAGCATTACTTATTCCTGTGATAGGGCTTCATGGAGGCCCTCAGCTCCGGCGCCGACATCTCCATGATCGGCCAATTCGGTGTCGGGTTCTACTCTGCGTACCTCGTGGCGGAGCGCGTGCAGGTGATCTCGAAGCACAACGACGACGAGCAGTACATCTGGGAGTCGGCCGCCGGGGGCACGTTCACCATCACGCCCGACACCGTCAACCCGCCGCTCGGCCGCGGGACCGAAATCCGCCTGTTCCTCAAGGAGGATCAGCTCGAGTACTTGGAGGAGAAGAAGATCAAGGAGGTCGTGAAGAAGCACTCCGAGTTCATCTCCTACCCGATCCAGCTCGCGGTGACGAAGGAGGTAGAGAAGGTGCGCTGCGTTACCGTGACTAGCTTTATTCTCTTAGCTCAACGCTTCTGCAGGAGGTCGAGGATGACGAGGAGGTCGTCGAGGACACGGACAAGCCCAAGATCGAGGAGGTCGAGGACGAGGACGAGAAGCCGAAAGACAAAGAAAAGAAGAAGAAGATCAAGCAGCAGGAGACCTCGAACGAGGAGCTGAACAAGACGAAGCCCATCTGGACGCGCAACCCGTCGGAGATCACTCCGGAGGAGTACGGCGCGTTCTACAAAAGTCTGACCAACGACTGGGAGGACCACCTCGCTGTCAAGCACTTCTCCGTGGAAGGCCAGCTCGAGTTCAAGGCGATCCTCTTCATCCCGAAGCGGTGAGTTATCCCTCTTCCATTCTCGCATTCTATTGATGCACGACTCAGCGCGCCCTTCGACCTCTTCGAGTCGAAGAAGAAGCGCAACAACATCAAGCTCTACGTCCGGCGCGTGTTCATCATGGACGACTGCGAGGACCTCATCCCCGAGTACCTCAACTTCGTCAAGGGCATCGTCGACTCGGAGGATCTCCCGCTCAACATCTCGCGCGAGACGCTCCAGCAGAACAAGATCCTCAAGGTCATCCGCAAGAACCTCGTCAAGAAGTGCCTCGACCTCTTCAGCGAGATCGCCGAGGACAAGGACAACTTCGCCAAGTTCTACGAGGCGTTCAGCAAGAACCTGAAGCTCGGCATCCACGAGGACGCGCAGAACCGCAGCAAGCTCGCCGAGTTCCTGCGCTTCTACTCGACCAAGTCGACCGAAGAGCAGATCTCGTTCAAGGGTGCGTCCCCGCTTTTTCTCTGTCCTTATGGGCTGGCTGACTTACGTGGGTGCCTCCGCAGACTACATCACGCGCATGCCCGAGGTGCAGAAGTCCATCTACTACCTCACGGGCGAGTCCCTCGCCTCCGTGCGCGACTCGCCGTTCCTCGAGGTGCTCAAGAAGAAGGGCTTCGAGGTGCTCCTGCTCGTTGACCCCATCGACGAGTACGCCGTCACGCAGCTCAAGGAGTTCGACGGCAAGAAGCTCGTCTCCGTGTCGAAGGAGGGGCTCGAGCTGGAGGAGACCGAGGACGAGAAGAAGGCGCGCGAGAAGGAGGCGGACGAGTTCAAGGAGCTGTGCACCACCGTGAAAGACGCACTGGGGGACAAGGTCGAGAAGGTCGTCATCTCGAACCGTATCGCCGACTCGCCCTGTGTACTCGTCACCGGCCAGTTCGGGTGGTCATCTAACATGGTACGTGCGCCGCTGCTGCCACTGAACTGTGAACTGATAGTGTGTTGCAGGAGCGCATCATGAAGGCGCAGGCGCTGCGCGACTCGTCCATGTCCTCGTACATGGCATCCAAGAAGACGCTCGAGCTGAACCCGACGAACCCGATCATCAAGGAGCTGAAGCGCAAGGTCGCGGAGGACAAGGGCGACAAGTCCGTGCGCGACCTCACATACCTGCTCTTCGAGACCGCGCTGCTCACGTCGGGCTTCGCGCTGGACGAGCCGACCTCGTTCGCCAAGCGCATCCACCGCATGATTGCGTGAGTGGTTCTTGTTGTGTGCCGCTGTTTCGTGGACGCTGACTGCGTGACAGCCTGGGACTCGACGTGGACCAGGAGGAGGAGGAGGCTACCGCTATGGCCGTGGACGAGGATGCACCGCCGCCAGCCGAGGGCGCGTCGGCGATGGAGGAGATTGATTGATTGCTGTTGAAAATTAGTTGTATTTCTTGTATGGTCTCTTCGGACAAACTAATGTGTATAATTTTTCTGTCTTGGTTCAACATCGGGATGCTGTGAGAGCGGGCGCTCAGACCCTCCGCCAAGCGGGCCTGCGTGACCCACAAAACGTAGCCAATTGTGATTCCGTTTTGCGGAGGGAAAACCCCGTCCCCGCCAAAGCCAATGACCCAGGCTCGATTCGAACGAGCATCTCTTGCAGATACTGCTAACCTTTATCGAGAGCAGACGCGGACCCACCACCTGCGAACTTGAATGGGAGCATTTGTATTGAAGCTTTCTTACCGTGCAAGAAAATGAACGAGTCAGGAACACATATCTGACCCAAGCTCGATTCGAACGAGCGATTTCCTGCATGCATGGGTCTCGCGCAAGTGACTGCCAATGAGTGCAGCCGCGGAATCCATCCGCTACTGGGCCTTTCCCTGCTACTCACTTGTGAACATAGGATCGTATTCAGTTATTTCCTCGCCGTTGAAGTTATTATGGAATAATAAAAATGTCTTACCAGGTTCACGACCCAGACTCGATTCGAACGAGCGGTTCCTGCTGATGAGCACTCAGCCAACATTTTACTTAGTGCAGGTGCGGAAACCGTCCGCCACTAGGCCTTCCTGCGCAATCTATACGACCTTCATTATTTTTGGCGAAAGTAGACGGTAGGCCCTAGCTTGATGCGAATGAGCTGCTCCTGCATGATGCCGGCGTCTTGTCGACCGAAGGAGATTTTCTGTGATTCTCTCCGCTGCAGAATAAAAAGAAATGCTCGACTCCGATCCGAGTCTGTCTCTCAGGCTCGAGCCGAACGAACGAGCGGCTCTCATTCAAGAGGACGGATCAGGACAGTAGTATTGAACTTCAAGCGCGAATAGCCATGGAAAGCATGCGGCGGCGGCACGTTGCGGAGGTGCAAGCCATTCCAGGCATTCGACACTTGAAGTCGATGCTGGCCACTGAAATGGAACAAGGATTCAAGTCGGACTTGTCAGATTTTTGAAGGGATCGCGTCTGAGCTTCTAATTCTTGAAGCAGTCTAAGGAGCTATCCGTCGAGGGTCTAGCCAGCGTCTGTGGAGTACAGGGGAAGCGGGGGGAGGAAAGGAACGGGCGCGCGGAGCAAGAACGCGGCGGCAAACTTGGCGGCAACTTGACCGCATCACTCCTTTGCCGCTCGTCGGCCCGCTGTTTTCGGCCCCGCGCCCTCTTCTCCATCGTCCACCCCATAATTCCGGCCCTGCGCCGCCCGGCGGGCTCGCGCTCACCCACACCGTCGACCCACCGGGGATCGTCATCGCCGCCACTCCAAATGAGTCTAATGGGCTGCGCAGCTGCTCGCGATGCTCGACCACCGAGCGCCGCGCAGCCGACGAGCACCCGCTTTCGACATTGGTCATGGGCGCCGATCATGGGCCCGGCGATCCCTGAGGACCCGCGCAGCCTGCGCTCCAGCCCACGCCCTGCCGCGCGCCGGCGCCGCCGGGGGGAGCTGCGTCGCTCGCGGACGTAACGGAGCGCAAACTGAGCACTAAGGCGCGCCGCCGCTGGGACGCCGCCAAGTTTGTACGGCCTGGAGGTATTCGGGCCGTGTTTTGATTCGTTAGAACGAGGAGTGGTGCGACTATGTGGACGCGGCAAGGAGTAGGTGGAACGCGTCAATCATCGGTGCGCGACGCGTAATTCACGGTTTGGCTCCAGTCGAACCGCGTACATGTATGATGTATGGGACCTGGGAGGCAGCATCCTTCCTCTCGAGCCCCTGACGCACCCTCTGGCTCGTGTTGAATAAGATTATAATCCGCTCTCCTTCAATCCAACCAGTGCGCGCGGTTAGCATCGTATGCAAATTGTACTTTGCGCCCCGTGATGCAAAGGAAATGTCATTGTCCCAAATGCCAGTGGCCCAGGCTCGATTCGAACGAGCAACTCTTGCAGACTTTATTCAATGATATGAGATTGAATGTAGGCGCGGACCATCCGCCACTGGGCTTTTCTATCCTACCCTTCAACCTGGGTAGGATATCATATCTGTTGTAATGTCCTCACTGCTAAAAAGACTTGCTCAACACAGACACGGCCCAGGCTCGGATCGAACGAGCGTCTCCTGCACACGACACGATGTTCGCTCTATGGAGGGCAGGTGCGGACCATCCGCCACTGAGCCTTACTAGCCAACCTGTTAACCTGCTGAAGAGGGAATTTACGTCGAAAGTAAATTAAAACATCCTTTCAATACAATCCCTCATGGCCCAGGCTCGAGTCGAACGAACGTCCCCTGCAGAATTTTCCAGTATTCCGGTTGGGTATAAGAAGCAGGCGCGGACCATCCGCTACTGGGCCTTCCTATCCTGCCTATAGACTTGGCTAAGAACGCTTGAAATTGTAACTTCCTCACCGTGCGGACCAAAAACTGACGTGATATCGAATGACCTAGGCTCGAATTTCAGTTCGAACGAGCGTCTCGTGCTGACATGCCAATCAGGCCCAGCCCTTGTCTGAGTTGTGATGTTATTGTCAATTTTCCGACAGGTGCTCGAAATATTTTACTTACTCTGAACGAACGTCTGCTGAGTAGAGAAATGCAAGACATCTACGAGTTCTCAGGGTAAATGGACAGGCCTGGTGGCGGATGGTTTCGCACTCGCTCTCGATTAAAGGCAGCGAGCTACTCGAGTGAAGAGGTACATTGCTGTATAAATTAGCCGTTTGAATCGGGCTGTGGCAGTATCCTCCTCGTTTGCGCTACTTTTTTGTTAAAGAAAAAATGCAGTTTGGATTTTTAAGCGGAGTAAATTGATATCCTATCCAGGATCGCTGGGGATGTATGAAGGCCCGGTGGCGGATGGTTTCCGCGCCCGCACCTCATACATACTTCGACACTATGAGTCTGTTTGCGGGATAAGCCCGTTCGATTCGGGCCCGGGGCCTATGACAGCCGGGTGTTTCTTTTTCCTCCGGAGTCAGCTCAATAATTGCATAGGGAAAAGACTAATTGAGAACCATTCTCCGAGCACCAAGCTCGTGCGGCGGACGGCGGACCTTCTCGCGAGTGCTCGAGGCGCATCTTCATGAACATGGAGGCAATCCGGGCTTTCCGGTCAGCCCCTAAGCACTAAGCGTTGACTCTCTGGGTTCCACCTCATGGTTGTGCCTTTGAAAGCTTTCCCATTAAATTTGAGCTGGGAGAAGCGGACACGTAAACAGAGCGTCCGATTCAGACAAATCTCAACCAAAACCCAACCGTGGGAACACGATGCCGACTGATTGATCAATGGGTCTCCCCTCGCAGGATTTATAAAAGGGCCTGGGAGACATCAATCTGAACTCCATATATCGGGCTTGACGAGCTTGTCGAGCTTTCTACCGCTGTTTCAAGGAACCCTGATTTGATTATCCGGAGAGAGCCATTTTCATTATACTCACGTACATTGTGCTCGCTGCTGTTCAAAATTCCGATCCTTACATATTGCATCATTCCAGGTAGGACCAGGCCATCGGGCGCAGGTGAGAAATCATTCGCCGCCAGGCCTTCCTTGTGTTGGCTTGCTTTAGTTAGAATTATTTTGTGCCGTTCCAACTTAGACAACTTCCTATTATTATTAATGAGACGTCACTTTGATCATCGAACGAAATCCCAACGCAATCCAGTTACAATTGCAGCAGACTGATCGGAAGAAGTACAACTACGTATACATTTAGAGAACAAACTCGAGGTCCATAATTCACTCAAGTCCAATGTCCGCGTACGAGATCTCTTGGTACGCCCACGCCATGGCCGATTCTGTGTCTGCCTCAGCCTCGTTCACAGGCTTCGATTCAAAACAAGTTCGGGGCCCCACGCAGACAATGACGTAGGATGCTGAGCTGGAACTGAAGCTCTCCACTGCCCTCTATCGCGAACTGAATGCTAGTCGCGTAGTCGATCAGTAGCCTGCCGCAGCCGCCGATGCGGTAGCGATTGCGCTGTTCCCCCGCATGGTATATTTTCAACCAGCGAACCGGCAGTTCCGCGGCAGTCCGAAGAAGAATTTCCTGTCGCGACAGTTATATACGGCTAACGTGACATCAAAAAAGCACGTACCACAACATTCGTCGGCAGTCCAATATCTGCTTGATTCGCGCTCACTTCGAGAGGCATGAGCTTGTGCAATTGCGACACCGCATCGACAAAATGTGGACCAAACTCCAGGGGCCCTCCCACCGAGCGGGGAAGACCAGTTCTACTATGAGCGACGCGGCGTGGTGGGGCAGCACCGTGCGTGAAAAGGGGTCCAGGAGATTGGCTGTAGGTGGATCCTTGATCCTGTTAATAAAATCAACCCTCCGTGGGCGGCGGTCATCATCGGGGGACCGGAGCTCCAATTTCTGAACCCCGGAATAGGAGCCGAGATATTCTGTGTGGTCCGTAATTGGGGCGTTAGGAATTCCGAGATCCTGAGATGGGCCGTTTCCTTTTTGGCAGATGAGTTCCAGATACAATTAAGGAGATATATGTATTTTTAGGTATCTGCGACTAACATCCGCCACATCCTCCTCCACCACCGCCGCCACCACCACCACATCCCCCTCCTCCGCCTCCTCCGCCTCCACCTCCACAACCATTTCCCCCTCCACTGCTTCCACCTCCACAACCTGCCCCTCCCCCTCCGCTACTCCCACCCCCACAGCCTCCTCCCCCGGTGGCACCACTCCCGGCACCACACCCTGCTGCAGTGTTTCCACCAGAGCCTCCACACCCACCGGTGCTGGTTCCTCCACTCCCTCCGCATGGGCCAGCTGGATCAAAATCAATGATAGGCTAACGCGCATATCGGGCCAACACGCACCCACTCCCTGTGTCCTAGGTAAGCAAAAGATGTTCGGACTGGACATTGCAAAGCACGCACCGCTGCGCAACGGCCCGAGCCAGCACCCGCGCCCTGGATCACACTCCCACCTGGCGCCGCGCACGCCGCCGCGCTCGACGATTCGTACAATGGGACGGGCGTCAGGAAGGCCGGGTCGTGCGGCGGCCCTCTGCGCTCATCCTTTTCTGCCCGCTTTGCGATCTTCTCGCGGCGATGCTGCTGTGCCGCCTGCCCTGCGCTCTTGCGGGCAAGCACGAAGACAGCGTTATGATCGCTCGGATGTGTGGCAGCGAGGATGTCAGCGCGACCTGAAGGGAGGAGGTACGATTCAGCCGAGCGCGACCGGATGTTGACGAGGCGGGACAGCTTCTGGCCGATGGTGTCGCCTGGGAGGGGGCACCCACAATGGGTGTAGTTCACACCGTAGCGACCCTTCCACGCTCTGCAGGTGACATCAAAGCAGGTCGCCAGCTGGGATTCATCCACTTTATCGTCGCTATTAGAAGTCTTGAGCTCACCCAAACAAACAGAGTGTTGTATGCTCACTGGTCAATAAATCGCCCAACGTATTTCATGGTGTCATCTGAATACTGGAAAATATTGGCTCAAAGCTGGAAGAGGGTAGAAAGAAACGCACTTTAGGGGCCATCAACTGGTGTGTGTGCCATGCCAGGTCAATATCCAGTGTAGGCACAAAGAACGATGCCGGAGACGAAGCCATCAGATCCAGGAAGCTGTTGAACTTTCGTCTTGGATCACTGGTGAGAGGGAGGAGAACTCACGCATGGTATCTCGCAATTGCGTGTTGAAGTGCGATTTCATCTTCCGGGTTGTCGAAAAACCCAGGCCGTGTCCATTGAAGATCGTGCATCTTGGCCACAAACGATCCTTGACGTAAAGTCTAAGAAAATGATCAGCCCGTTGTTGACCCACCTTGAATAGAAACGCGGTTTACAGCCCCGACCAGTTCCACAGAGAACAATCTGCCATCGGTGTACGCACTGGCGATTCTCCCAATTCTGGATTAGTGTTCATGAGCAAACGCAACTCCAAGCCACAATATTAATGCCACACTTACAGCCGCCCCCCTTGCCCTTTCATGTAGACAACCAACATGCTCTTGAGCGTGCCAAAATGGTAGCTGGCTTGTTTCATGATAAACTCCGCATACTCTTCATTCGAAATCAATGTCCCAGGCTCCTTGCCATTCGGACGTCGCAGCTTTTCATGTTTCAGCATTGCGGCCCTGATGGTCCATCCGCGCGTCACATCTACGGGATTGGTCGGAGTGTGCATAGTCCCGCTGGAGTGGAAGTAATGAGATGGAGGAATTATTGAAAGAAATCAGGGGCCGATACTGACGCCAAAAAACCTTGTTTCTCGGTGAGACGTCGGTGTGTGGACAAATCCTCGGCGAGCTTACGCAACGCCAGGGAGTCGTGGGTGATCTTGAACTGGCATATGCTTCTCGGACAGCGTATCATGAAGCTCTGTTGAAGGTATCCCGTCCCCGTGTCGGTCATGTAAGCTAGAGCTCCGTCAGGATATGGTCGATTTAAACATGGAGGAGAATCAACGAACACGCGCGCACTGCAACGGAGCACTTTGGACAGGTAACCTCTTTGTCTAGCAAACGCATTGCCGCCTCAAATGGGTCGAAGGGAGTAGAGGTCAGTTTAACCCAGTGATTGAGGCGTGGGGAGGAGGTTTTCAGGCTGCGCATATGTGCTGGATCCCCATCCTGTCAGAGGATCAGATATATTCGGGGTCGCGTGCTTAGGTGTTACCAGGGCGGCTACGAGTGTATCACCAGCCTTCTTGAGTCCTCGGAGATAGGGTTTAGGATGATAATATTCCGCAGCGTTCATCTCGCGACCTGTTAGTACCTCTTCTGCGTACCATCTTGCGGGATATGTCAAATGCCGGTACGATACGCCAAGGGAAGAACGAACCCCGGGTTGAGAAGATATGCATGCCACACCTGGCAATGGTAAGTATCACCTCCCTGCCAAACTGGTCTGAGCTCACACCATGATCACATCGATCGGTGGTAGATAGCCCTTCTCGGCATCGGAGGGCTCCAGCGCCTTGCACCAGATCTCAAATCTGCGGTAACGTTAGTCCCGCGTGATGTTAAAAATATTCGAGGAAATCCCACCGCTCAACAGCGAGCCCAACAAACCATGTCCATCGGCGTTCCTTGTCGGAAGGCATGTGCGTCGGGCCTTGTGCGCTGCCCATTGCCTCAACCTTGCTCTTCAACTCCGCGAATTCGTGGAGCAGAACGAGGTGGTTCTTGAGTTGTCGCGTACTGACGAAGGGCGCGGTGCTATGGCTGCCTATTGAGAAGGAGCTGGGGAAAGCGTACGCAGGCGGCGCATCGGATGTACCAGCCCAAGCAGCCAGTCGGGACGTTGACGCAGCAAGGGCGGCGACGCCAGGGGAGCGATCAGAAGAAGAGTACGAGGGTGGAGAAGCAGTTTCCATTGTGTGTAACCTGATAATCAGACGGCAGGTATTTATTTATACAAGGGCTGTGGCGTCCTGGACTGCGGGCCCGGCGTAGCACAGCTTGCTTGATGTGTTTCCCGATCAATACAGCAGTTTGCTATACAAACTAAAGTGGGACGGAGGTCGAGAGCGGGAAGCTGTATATAATTCCCGAGATAGTTGAGATGGCCCCATCTCTCAAGAGACTCCAAGTAACTCGGAGACTCGGAGTCAGCGAGCTCCACGAGCGGATAACGGCAGATCCCAAGTTGAAGAGGGTGTAGGTCAGGGACGCGTGGTTAAGCGGATGTGCCACGAGTCCTAGCCGGAAGGTCCCGGCTGCCATAATCATTTCGTAATGATTATGGTCGTGGGTTCAAATCCCACAAACCGTCGGGAGGTTTGGTGGGTATTGCACCGGTTGAGATCCCGGATGCCGAGTCCCACAGTACCATGACTTGTTCTGTCACGTGTCTGCGCAAATGCATTCCTACCCGGGGTACTGGATCCCTACGTCAATCGTAGTCCAGTGATGGGTGTCACGCGCCAATGCTTCTGCAGAGGTGAGGGCACTTGCTAAGGTGCCGAAA